CAGCTCAGCATAAAAAATTAACAACACCAAGCATAAAAATATTCATCAAAAATGTCCATCAGAATATCCAAAATTTTATACAATAAAACACATTCTTCGCTGCTGCAATAGCACAAAATTCAAGGTTAAGATTCCTTCATTTGTTTATGTAAACAAGCAACTTAATCTGAACATTCTCTGCATTCAGCATGAAAAGTGTATGGTATTTAGTGGCGTCTCTCTCTCTCTATTCCTCTGTGTTGTTTTATGTACACTGTACAGCGATAGTGAGCTCACTCTCTTGGTGTGAGAGACTCACGTATCCAATCGGCACAAAATGTTGTGTATACAAATAGAAATGCCAAAACGTCAACTGTTCATTCAATGTCGATTGTTTGGCGCGTGCACACACACACACACACCATACAACTGCTTATTCTTGCTTTAGCTTCAGAATCATTTGATAACAAAAAGTATTTGCATCGGCATTTTGACATCTGCTTGTGTTATACGTGTTACACTTTCTACTTTTTTCCACTATCGATTGCCATCAAAATTCAATGACAAAAATGATGAACAGCTTGTTCGATCCACCGCTGACAGACAAATCCCAGCAACATGGGCCTATGTCTGATGATACCGATGAAACCGACACATCCACATCAGACGATAGAGCCACAGCGTTCTTCACAGTCAACATACAATCGTCAACCTCTTCATCAACGCTTCCCAAACACAATGAATCTTTGACGGCATCGATTCCATCCCTTGACGCCATAGTCGAAAAAAGGGTACGTGAATACGAGGAAAAATTCCAAGAATACGAAATCGTCAATGCCGATTTGCAAAAACGATTCAACGAAAAGGAAGCCGAATTAAAAAGGGAAAAGTTACGGTATACCAAATTGAAAAATGACAACGAGAATTACCGAACTGAAATGATGCAAGTGGTTGAAGCAACGAAGAAGAAAAAGTGGTGTCATCATTGCTGGAACGAAGTGACATTCAATTGTGCTATCGATCCACCGGCTTGTAGTAGCAAATGTCTCGATGAATTGATGTAAGATGACTTTCTTTATGGAGTTTTTGAACAATATCCGAGATCCTTTCAAAGGTTTTCCAAACAAATTCTGATTTTTTTTCTTTCAATATCTTAGGGCATCCAACTTGTCGCCGGCTTATTCAATTTCATCGGAATCAAGTGACAGCCCAGTCATAAGCGTAAGTTGAACCAATGTTTTGAACGTCATTCAAGTACTTTCCTTAGTTCGAATATCGTTCTTTTTTAGTACTCTATTAAATGCAGAGTGATGCAAAGCTATTGTTCTACTCTTCAATTACTCTATGAAATTTTTTCGTCTATTTTTTTGATTGAGGAATGCAAAATAAATTATTTAAAATGATTATCGTTTGAAAAATTTAGGTGCACGAAGAAAACGAGGAACCGAAGAAAGCGAAAAACAGTTCGATGGCCGTAAATAGATGCGGTGAAAATGGGATCTTCCATCAGAACGGAAATGGTACACTCGTTAATGGGAACAACATGCACCACAGCTCAGCTCAGGTCCACCAGATGTCCATGGTAAGAAGAATAGTTTGATGAACTGAGAAAATTTCCATCATTGTAACCAAGGCAAACCCATCCGAAAATGTTCAACACAATTTTTTTCTTTTTTTCAATCAGACAATTGCTGACGAGCCATACGTATGTACGGACATTTCCAGCTTACTTCGGGACTTGGAAGACTAAAGCCGAAGGAATGAAGAATTCTAAAAAAAGACGACATTGGAATCGATGTTTTAATTTCATTTTGAACCACAACCATAGTAGTAGTGGCAATTGACCCATGATTCGATTTCTTAATCTAATTTAAGGTTTATTGAATTAATTGAAACTTTGATTGTAATCGATACCAATTGATATAGAATACACAAACTGGATGTATTTGAATGAAATTTCCAATAAGTTTATATTTATGAAATTACATTTCAATAAAAATATGTTTCGATGAAAAAAATGCGATAGGTCGATATGTGTACGACTGTACGTACAGTACACATTAGGATGATTTAAAGTGTAAATGTTAGGATGCGAGCTATCATCAAAGCTGCTGCCAAATTAATGATGGAGCTGCGGCATGTCGAGCCACTAGCGTCACTGTTGCCACTTTTTGTTTCTATCAAATGCTTCTTAATCCAGCCGCAGTACTTGAACACTCGAGTAAATCGGCTATATTCTGAAAATAAAAAGCGTTCACGGTGTATAAGTTGGTTGGTTAGATAGGGGAATTTCAATAGCGAATTTGGCTCATTTATTTATAAAACACCAAAAGATCTTACCAACTGTGCATTCCTGAAAAAAACAACAAACCAACTATAATCAAAAAAGATGTGTGATTTTCAAATTTAAATTGTCAATTACCGAGTAAGTGAAGAAAGACCCGATTGCTAACAACTCGTTTGAACCATCAGGATGAATCATTGTTGCGCCTAGAAATTGAATATTATAATGTAAAATTTAAATTTTTTATTCTTTAAATGGCTTATACTGAGATTACCCATATCAGACACGCATGCCCAAACAGTTTCAGATATAATACATGCGTAAACCTACGGAATATGGAATTTACATGCCCCGAATTTCACCGCTATTTGATAACTCGCGAAAACATCTTAAAGAAAATCTCTACCCAAGAAAAGTACGACTTCAAGAAACCAAACCCAAAGCAAAGTCCTGGTGCCATGTCAGTTGACTTCGAAGATAACGAATAGATAAAATCTAAAATCATATGTTTAAGGTTCTTCTTCTTAATTTAATTAAATTTTGCTTTTTTTTCATAATTTCACATAAATTTGAGCGTTTTTTTTCGATATACTGTTTTTATACTCATTTTTTGAACAGCATGCTTTTTTTTCCATGAAATCAGAAATGAAATACTATTTTTTTACCAAAATAAGTTGGTAGCTTTATACATGCGTAGCGACCAACTGAGTTGTTGAAAGAACATTTTTTAGCTTTTACTATTGCATGATGCAATGTTATGTGCTAGTTAGGAATGGGTTTAGAAACGATTAAATTCAAAATATGCCAATAAAATCAAATGAGTGGCCTTGAATGGATGGAATAAAAGGAAATACACTTGAAACGATTTACTTCAAAGTCACCTCCAAATCCAGCGACTTCAACATTGAATCCATCCACTAATTCCCTCCCGGCTAAATGAACTGCAGCAACTGATGACAAAAATACTATTCCTTCCATATGTAGAACTCCCAAATCAATTATCGATTGTTTGCCATCTTTTCGAAGTAGATACAAACTGAAGAATGTCTCATGCCACACTGTGTTTTTGATGGTGACTTCCTGTCCACTCGATTTGGATGAAATATCCACATGACCTACATAAACTATGCAATTATACGTAATATTGCAAGCTGACGCACAAACTGCATTAGTTAAGATGTTCTCCGGCGATAGAATCGCACCCGCGCAAATAGGTTGGAATACATTCGTATGAGGATGTCGAACATTTATCAAAGCAATGTATGGGATGGTTCCTTCTTGAGCTTCCTGGCCACCGATTATGCGAAACGACGGACGTTTGGCTGAAACAATCACAAAAAGAACCAGAAATATTTCCGCTGTTCTCATGTCTTAGTCGATTGATTACCAATTCAAATCTTTTTAGATGATTTTTTAATTTGAACGGTTCTAAATTAAAGATTTTCGGTTTATAAACTGTTATTCTTTGCTGATGGCTCTTTGAAATAGTATTGAATGCCTTTGATTTATATCCAAAGTAACTATTGCTTGAGAAATCATTTTCGAAACAAAAAATTAATGTTTGCTATGTTTGAGAAAAATGTTCATTTAAATTAGTGAACCAGAATTCTGTGCCGGTGACAGCAAAACAATGAAATGAAACAAATCGATTACTAGGGCTGGAATTCTAAGACATTCCACGAAAATCGTGCGGAATTATTTTTTTTGTACGTAAGACTATATTGGAGCGAAAGAGAGAGATTCCACTAATTTTCTGGTTACCACCGGAATTATTCCGATAACTATCACTTTTCCTTGATAATCTCTTCTTAATTCCGGTGGTATCCAGAAAATTAGTGGAATCTCTCTCTTTCACTCCAATATAGTCTTACGTACAAAAAAAAAATCCGCACGATTTTGGTGGAATGTCTTAGAATTCCAGCCCAGTTACGACGTGTGTGCATAGCGCGCAAACTAAAACGACACATCACCTCGCAAGAAGTCGGGCGCTTCGCACACACTGAATATTGTACACAAAAGCCACAGTATGATGCATATTCGCATTTTGGATGTTATAGATCCGGCTCCACCAGTACATGTGCCGCATGGCATCGAAAACGTTGACAATATCAACCACAACGACAACAATCAACAAAATTAAGTTCAGTTTTTGAACACAAATTTTGTTCAATTAGGTCGCATTGCTGGTACAAAATGGGACCCATGATTCGATTTCTTAAACAAACACTTCGAGCGTAATGAAGTATTGTAACTTTAATTGAAATTGAAACCAATTTTCATTGGATTTTCTAAACAATTTTCCTGTAATTAAATTTTTTTTATCAATCGAATGGCCGATTGAAATGTTCCAATGACAGTAAACAGAATTGTATTCAAGCCACAATACACAAACTGGATGCATTTGAATGATATTTCCAATAAGTTTATTTATAAAATTACATTTCAATAAAAACAAGTTTGCAAAACAAAAATTATGTGAAAAATACTCGTTGGGGAGTCAATTGTTTGCGTGATAGTTTTTAAGGACGATATAATATCAAATATTTTTTGAAAACAAAAAGTTCATTTTAAGGTATTCAAATACCAAAACTCATCATTTCAATAAATAGAGAAAACATCGCAAGACTCGGTTTTTTTTTATTTTGAAAATTTATTGAGAAAAAGAAAAACGGTAAACTTCTAGTGATGGGAATTGATAGTCACGTCGACTGAAGCCTCTTGACTTAGTTCTCCTCCAAGAAGAAGTATTGACCAGCCCGTTTTTGATCGACATCCTTGACTGATTCCAATTTGTTGATACGCGGTCGGAAGTTGTTTGGATCGCGACGGAATGTAATGCCAAGCAATTCCAAAAATCGATTCATACCATTGAGCAGCGACTGTGGACTGTTTGCGGTGGTATTCATTGATGGTGTACCCTCGAATACAATGACACGATCGGCCAAATATGTTGCCATGATGAAATCGTGCTCAACGATGAAGCCCGTTTTCTTGGCGTGGAGAATGTATCTGGAAAGAGTGAAACATCGTTAGAATTGTACGAAAATTTTGGATTTTCAGGCACATGAAACTTAAAACCGAAGCCAAGCACATAAAACCTTGGGTTGGAAATCAAGTTTGCATGAAAAGTTTAGTACATTCATACCTCTTGATGACTTTAGCAGCGATCAAACGTTGTTCAGAGTCCAAATAGGCGGATGGTTCATCGACCAAGTACACATCAGCCGGTTTGCCCAAACACAAGACCAAGGCGACACGTTGCAATTCACCACCGGACAAATTTTGCACCTCTTGATCGATGATCTCTTCGATTTTCATTGGTTTCATCACGTCGGCAATGAACTGTGGATGCACGTATGCATCGCGAATCTTATCATGCAGCAATTGTCGGACGGTGCCTTGATGTTTTGGTGAGATTTTCTGCGGCTTATATGAAATATTCAAAACCGGTAAATCACCAGAGCCATCGTCTGGTTTTAAATTACCAGCTAGCATACGAATGAATGTCGTTTTTCCCGTTCCATTCTCACCGAGTAGCACCAAAATTTCCGAATCGCTAAATTGACCCTGCATCACCGTTAACTCAAATTTACCTAAACTCTTTTTCATCGTTGGATAGATATAATGGTTCATACGCTTAATTTCTTCTTCAGTGGCCGATTCACTGACTTTGAACGTTAACGAATCCGTACGGAAACGCATGTTTTCGGTTGGCACAAAACCGTCCAAGAAAATGTTGATACCTTCACGCACGGAGAAAGGCATAGTAACGACACCGTAACATCCGGGCACACCGTATAGACAGCAAATGAAATCGGAGAGATAATCCAAAACGGATAAATCGTGCTCCACTACGATGATAAACTTCGATGGATGAATCATATGGCGAATGGTCAAGGCAGCATTCAAACGCTGTTTCACATCCAAATATGACGATGGCTCGTCGAACATGAAAATATCTCCATTTTGGATGCACACCATTGCGATGGCAAAACGTTGCAGCTCTCCTCCGGATAATGCAGCTACCTCACGGTCACGGATGTGCGTTAAGTCCAACCTGTTTTTTTTGTTGGTGAACGGAAGAAAATTTGCCAGAAAAAAACCGAAAAAATGAAAGAAAATTGTCAAAAAATATTGAAAGCCACAAAAAAATGAATGGAAAAAAGAGAAAAGCCGCTCAATGAACTTACATTTTACAAATTTCCTCTGAATTACTGCGATCATCCTTCCGTTCGAGCAATGGGCCGACGTGACCTTTAACGGCTTTTGGAATCTGGTCAACGTACTGCGGCTTGATCAATGCTTTAAGATCATCTTCCAAAATCTTTGTGAAGTAGTTTTGCAACTCCGAGCCACGGAAATATGTTAAAATTTCCGTCCAATCTGGTGGATCGGAGAAGCGTCCCAAGTTTGGCTTTTGTTTACCAGCCAAAATTTTCAAGGCCGTCGACTTACCAATACCATTTTGACCGACCAACCCAAGTACTTCACCTGGAAAAAACAGAGAATTCGGCACATATTAGAATTGAATAAACGAAAAAATGAAATTCCTTAAATCTTTTGTCATTTGTAGCTCAAAACGAAAACAATTCAGTGGAAATATGAAGAAAAAAGTTGCAAAAAATCTCAATATTTATTCATTAAGAATGTTTTACCTGGCCGTGGAATCGGCAAACGATGCAATTTGAAGGAATTCTTCGAGTATCGATGTGTTGTTTGCTTTTCCAAATTGCTTGGAAGATTGATAATCGTGATAGCATCGAATGGGCATTTCTTCAGCGAAAAATGATGCATTTTGATTATAAAAAATGAGAACAAAAAAAACATTGCAATAATCTGAACCATACATTAACACCTATGTACTGGTATTGGAACTGAACCTACCTTAACACAGATACCGCAACCGATACACAGTTCTTCGGATAAGCTGGCAATTTTCGAATTTGGGCTGACTTCAATGCAAAGTTTACCCATACGGACAACCGGGCAACATTTCTTACATTCTTGACGGCATCGTTTCGGTTTGCATTTGTCTTCGCTGACGATGGCAATACGCGTTTGCTTGTCCGTTTCTTCGTTCGCCTTATTTCGTGACATTCTAAAATAATAAACACAAAAAATTCAGATAAAATACACACTTTTGTTGAGAGAAAAAAAATCGTCCGTAAATTTCTTGATTAAAAATTCGTTCACGTAAAAGAAATGTGTTGGTGAGTTTAATTTTCGTGGCGACGTGTGTACTTTCTCGTGTGACACTATTTTGTTACACATTGTCTGAATAACATTCACTTTTCAATTGGGAACGAATTTAACCTCAAAAAACTATGAACAACTTGTTACGACGATGACCGAAGAAAAAAAAATCCGTCTCACTGTCTTTAAACTCAATCCGAACACAAATCTTTAACAAATTAAAATTCAGCTCAACTTTATCTAAGGAAAAATACCGAAATTCGATTGAATTTCACTAAATTACGTACTTGAATTAGACAATTTTGTGAATGAAAAAAGCGAACGCTCTCTGCGTGCCAGCTCGTTTCTATTCAAAAAGACAAGTCAATGTGTCAAATGCATTAACCATGCAACAAAAAAAAGGTGACAGCTCACACATGAACAAACCACCAATTTTGAGGTTAGGTTTGAACTGTCAATGCACAATACGTAACACATACGACAATTGACTACTCAAATAAACACACAGAAAATAGTTAAGTATTGCTTCGAGTAAATTGTTTATTCATTAGCTGTGAATTTCGACTGGTTGTTTCTTTTTATAGTATGAACGGTATTTTATAGAAAATATTTTAGAATGCGCAGCAGAGTACACAAGAAAAAAAATGTATGCCAGTAGAGACGTTTGTATATTTTTTTACAGTTGGCTGGCTTAATCGACGTCTTCGGTTGACACATTGGGTTTTTCATTGGATGAACTGGAAGCTCCAGCTTCGGCCTTAACTGCTCCAGCTTCGGCTTCAATTGATTCACCCTCTTTTTCCTCTTTGTCCACTTTTGATGCATCAGGTACCCATAACCCAGAATCAACACAACGTTTCAAATGATGTTTCGCCTCATCTTCCGGCATTTTGCTTATTGTCTCCTGCAACAATGCAATATCGCGTGATTCGAAACATTTTTGAAGAGCCTAAAAGGAGAAATTTACACATTATTTGCTTGTTTGGTATATGAATTGAATATGTTGGATGTGTGGGATTACCTCTGGCAATGAATCGAACACTTCAACTGGATCCAAACCACCCGGTCCTAAACGTTCTTTGCGTTCCTCTTCCTGAAATTTATTCACATTTTCAATGAAATTGATCTATAAAATCCATGACTTACAAACTAAAAATCATTTTTTAGAGTCAGAATTAAAACAGTTTTGGAGAAAAAAAAGTAATTGTTCCCTCAAATTTGAATTAATCGGAATCAATTTCGATTTCTGTCCCAAAATGAAATCAATTTTTGTCTTTCTTACTTCTTGTTCGGCGAGTGCCTCTTCAATTTTCTCAGCGGCACGCTTCGTGATACGCTGTTTGAATTGTTCCACCTCGAGATCAAAGTGTTTCTTATACTCGATATCTGCTATTTGGATACGATCAAAGAATGAACCAATGCATGCTCGGGGATCGACGTCGAGTTGTTTGGCCTGCAATTGAACAATGGGTCGAGTTAATTTTGATAGAATAAATTGAGAATAATTTTCAACAGATTCAATCAACGACCATATTACGGTCATCATCACGATATATTGCGACCAATCCACAGAAAAGTAGGCAATGTCTACTAGACATAGACAAAAATTTATGTAGCAAACTTGGATTGAAAATAAATGATTGGCGTCATTGGTGAATGTCGACAGGTGATTTTCGCAAAGATCATGATTTTTTTCATCAACTCACCAGTTCCAAAATGTACTGCATGCAGATACATTGATGTGCGACGTGTTCCATAAGGCTGGCTGTAAATGAGCATATAGCATTTAATATCGAATTGAAATCAAATTTAGAAATTATGTGTATAAAATCCATACTTTTCTTCTCCATTTGCAAATTGATGCACCAGATGACGAGATAGTTGGCTGTGGCTTCGCACGCCAAATGGGGATGATCCAAGAGGAATTTCTTCGAATCATCATATCGGCGCAACATACCGAACTGTTCGAGTATTTTTTTATTATCTTTGACAAAGTCACGCATTCGAACCTCTTTCTCTTCCTCGGACAGGTCATCATACGATGGCTTCGATGTTTTTGTATTGATGATGGTTTTGGAAAAAGCTGGCTTCGAAATTGTATCAACATTCCATGGTGTTTTCTTCTCTTCAACACGCAACTCATCGGCTTTTGCATCCAATTCACTTTTCTTTAGCTCGAGTTCCTTCAATTTTGATTGGAGTTTTGCTAATTTTTCCTCATCACCGGCTGTATTTTTGATTTCTTGCTGAACCGTTTCTAATTGCTTTTTAGTGTTTATCCGCTCAGTGTCGAATACCTTCTTCTTTTGCTCTAGCTCGGCCATACGCTGCACACGAGCCTCATGTCTCCATCTGGAAATTACGGAGTTGGACTATTGATTAGTATTGATTCATTTTTCCCTATTTTTTGATACAAAAAGTGTCACTTCTTACCTGAACAGACTTGGCGTGTCTATGTTTGGATGAGTCTAGAATTGGAATGATGAAACAAATCATTAACAACTGAATTTTCGATAAAAATTGTTTTTACAACAAAAACAAAGTCGGCAAATCGACCAATGACAGATTGATTTGCTCGTCAAACAGACAATACACAAAAAAATGGAGGGAAAAAAATGTGTTCAATTCAAATAAGTTCCAATTAAAATTCGAATTAAAATCACTTCCTAATGAAAAGTCACAATTTCCCTGTTTTTTTTTCTCACACAATTGATAGGACATTATCTTAAAAAGTAGATTTTCCACAGAATTGTGGTGTTTCCCGTTGAATAGTGAGTCATCCAATGATAACCTTAGAAACCATTATTCACTCCAATGATAACAGTAATTTGATTCAACTTACATCGTCTTCATCATCCGAAATCTGAAATACAAACACACAAACACATGAATATCATTCGAAATATGGTCTAAAGAGAAGTCGAAAGAATGCGTGAAATATGTTTATCGGCATTGGCAATGAGGCGATGTAGCAGAAGGTAAACATAGGAAAAACATTGCTTACCTCAATATCTTTCCACTTGCTGTAATCAACCATTTTGAATTATTCTCCAATAAAAAACACAATAAACAACTTCGCCTACGAAGAATCTACACCACTTTTTTCTTGAGATTTTACAAAGACTTAATTGCGCTTGGTTGAAATAGAATCGACTCAGTTAGTATGCCAAATATAGTAGTTCTGTTGACAATTGACAATTCGCTGGTGACAATGCGTTCGCTTCAGCGCACAGTAACGCATTGCGTTATTAACGTATGCATGATGAGCGCTAGTTCATTTCTTACATGAATGTGCGTTGTACAACGTTTTTCTGGAATTCAAATATTATTTTTAAATCAATTGATTTGATGAGTTTGGTAATTTGGTTTAGGATAATTGAATATTTAATGAAAAAGACGCTCTTTCTAGAAGAATCAAATTTTTAAGCCAAAAGACGATTTTGTGCAATCCAAATAGCGATCTGAAGTTAAGATTTTGAACTCGCTTTGAATGAATTCTATCAACAAAAACCAAAAACTTATTCGTCGTCGCCTCATTCATGCGTCGTCCTCATAAAACTTCCAACTGATTTCCTCTCATTGTTGGTGCTTTGTTAAAATATTCAAAGATTCTGTCTCATTCATGATTATCGCTAAGAAATGGACATTTTTAGACGTCGCTATCATCTAAAATAGACAAGACTAAAAAATAATATTGGGTCTACTGAATGAGAGCACGGTAAAGAGGCACGGTAAAGGTACGAGAGCTCGATATAGTCAACGTGTAATAAAAAATGAATTGAAATTATACTGATACCAAGTGCACTAGGTCATTGTATTTACGTTTACTATCAAGAGCTCATTCTAGTAAATACCCTCAAAAAGTCGAAATTTGACACAAGCATCATCCGACATTTAAGCCTCTGAAAAATTCAGCAAACAAACAAAAAAGCCGTTAAAAATGCACAACAAATTCATCGATTTCACATTAACTAACCAAACCCTTTGGTGGCACGTCTTCAATTTTCGAATGCATTTCCATTCAGTTTTCGATGTACTTCGCTGGGAATCGGATCATAATTAGCATCTAGTGATAAAACAAAATTGGTATAAAGTATTTGGGTGTGAAAAAGTACAGAAAAAATTGTTTTTTTTCTGTTAACAAGTTGTTTGTGTGGAAAGATAATTTTCTTTAGGCAAAAAATTGCCATAAATAAGTTTACGTTTGAAACGTGGAGAAAAACGTGGAGAAAACAAAATTGAGAAAAAAACGAAGAAAAAAAATTGTTAGTGAATCAAAATGATGAGCCTACAACCACCAGAAGCGGGAGCAGGAGGCAAGCGCTACAGTATCGATACAGATGAATTGGTGAAACGAATCCATGCATCTAAACCAAAGTCTGTCTTTTTGGATGGAAAACCAAAGGCGACCGTGCAACGAGCTGCGTTTGGAAAAAAATCGAAAATTGATGTCACCGAACAAGGGTTACAGTCGATTAAAAGAGCCGCTTTTGCAACGGAAACCAGTGATGAGGTCAAACATTTTGAACATTGTGAAATTATCGATTTTGAATTTAGTTCAGAATCCAATTTATGAGTCAACTAATAAGTCTATACATGGACAATATTTTTGTTGTATTGCAGGACATAGTTTACAAGAGCTCATTACCTGTGTACCGATTCCTACGGGTTTTGGGCATTTTTCCGTATACCCGAAATGAACCCGGCCAAGCAGAACTCATCTATGCATCGAAAATTGTTGCCTACGCCGTTGTTTTTTTTATTCTACTCACGGTATTACCCGGTCGATTGGTGTTTGATTAGAAGTAGATAAATTGATGACCATTAATTTTCCCTTTCAGACATACGTTTTCTTCATTGCCGTTGATCGCGTTGAAATTATTTCATCACTTGAAGGACGTTTCGAAGAATCGGTCATCGCTTATTTATTCTTACTGAATATTTTACCCATTTTAATTATTCCGATGACCTGGATCGAAACCCGAAAATTTACCAACGTTCTGAATAATTGGACGGAGTTTGAGGTGTGGCCAATTTTGGACTACTTTTCAGTTGTTGTTTTTTTTCCATAGAAAATTGAATTTCGTACTTTTATTTCTTTTCAAATTTTTCTTGGATGTTTTCCTTTGAATTTTGAGTATTTTTTTTTAGATTTTTTTCTTTTTTTAGCTAATAATGAGAAACTCCTACTTAAAGTAGACCAGTAATGTTCTAGTATATTTTATGTTTACTTTTTATTTCTTCCCATTTTGTGCTGAAAAAAAATTCTGATGCCATCTTTGACGTCGCAAAAAACTTCCTTTATTCATACATAAGTTTAAGTTTCATCAACCATTTAGTGGTTGTCATTCGAAAATTCAAGTCCATTCAAGTCCTATTTTAGATTCAGGCATCAAAATGATTTTTCCATTATTTTATTTAATATAATTTTCTAATTCTAATTATTAATTGATGTCAACCAATTTTTTTTATCACCACTTTCATACCGACAGATTCTATATTACAAAGTGTCTGGCCGAGTTTTGCCATTGAATACTCAAACCAAAGCATTATTGATTGCTATTTTATTACCAGCGCTATCGAGCTTGTCGGTTATTATCACTCACTTAACCATGATTGATTTTAAAATATTCCAGGTTAGTGTTCTCGTCGTTTTCTTCCATAAACCTTTTATATCTATCATTTCATATAACTGCAAACAAAAACCTCAATTTATTATTCAATAAAAAAAAACATTGATTTTGTTTATAAAAATCATTTTCCCTTGATTCTCATTAGATAATCCCTTATTGTATTTTGGACAATTTAACTTATATGATGGGTGCTTATTGGTACTTGGCTTGTGATTCATTGAGTCGATCAGCTACAATTTTGGCGGATGATTTCCAACAGGTACTTAATGATTTAATTCTTTCAAGGCAAGTCTTCAATTAAAAAAAAAAAGAATTCTTCGAATTCATACATTTCATCAAAAAAAAAATCATCATATCTACGCATTTTTTCTGCTTTATCCAAAAGTCATTTTTTTTAATAATATAAAAAAGAAAATTCCCAAAATATCATGATAAAATCCAAACGAATGTTGAGGTCAAAAATGAATGCTTAAGAATAAAAAAACAGCATTTAATTATAATTAAATTAAAAATTGATAGTTATCAATTACCCATTTCTAGGCTCTGCGCCACATCGGTCCCGCAGCAATGGTTGCTGATTATCGTGCTCTCTGGCTACGTCTGAGTAAATTATGCCGAGACACTGGAACGGCCACGTTTATCACGTTCACATTTCTCAATCTGTATTTATTCTTTACGATCACGATTTCGATTTATGGTTTGATGTCGCAAATATCGGAAGGATTTGGATTGAAGGATATTGGTTTGCTGGTGAATGCATTCTGTAACATCTGTCTATTGTTTTTCATCTGTGACGAAGCGCATTATGCGTCGCAACACGTACGAACGAATTTCCAAAAGAAGTTGCTTATGGTCGAATTGAGTTGGATGAACTCCGATGCCCAAACTGAAATTAACATGTTTTTGCGAGCTACGGAAATGAATCCATCGAACATCAACTGTGGCGGATTCTTCGATGTCAATCGAAATTTGTTCAAATCGGTGAGTTTTGATGCTTTTAAGGGTAATCTTTGGATGATTGAAAAAAATAAACTTTTTTGAAAGAAAATTCAATTGTTTTTGAGGATTTTTGGGAGAAAATTGGTTTTATTCAGGATTTTTTCTCCTAAGAATTTTGTTCCTTCAAAAAAAAAAATCCTGAAGATTTGTTCAGAGATTGGTACAAATTTTTTTCTTCAAAGATTTCATACCAAAAACATGAAAAGGAGTGAAAAACTTTGAAAATCCAAGCAAGGATCAATACAAAAGTCTAAAATAATTTTAAAAAAATTATGCATTTATTCCAGCTTCTAACAACGATGGTGACCTATTTGGTGGTGTTGCTCCAGTTCCAAATCAGCATACCGGATGATGCATTGGCGGGCAGTTTAAATGGCACCATTCTGAATATGACTCGACCGGCCGTTTAATTGGCTGCCGTGTTCACAACCAGACAAATGCTAACACACAGTCTTAGTCATCGCAAGTCTCCTGTGTGTACAATGATATTGAAACCCAGTACAAAGTGAACAACAAACCGAGCACAATGCAAAATTCGTGCAGTGAATAGAAAGAAAAAAAAAAACAAACAAAAACTATAGAGATACATTTCACAATTTGATCAAATTTATTGTTGCAGCCATTTAAGGTATGAGACAGAGGAGAAGAGAGAGATAGAGAGACCGAAACCAGAGAGTATTGAATCCGACATAAAAAGCCATAAAGTAATGTTTATGCAAGCGCCACAATCCACTCCGCTTTTATTATCGCTTTCGCATAGATCGCGCACAGCCAAAACAAACATTGCATACACACAAGTGTCTAACTCTGTCTCTTTGAATCCATAAAATGCAGTTTTGTTTGTGTGCCAACCTCCCCATATAAGATGATGATCTTGAACTAAACTTGTGCTGCGGCCCCATGCGAACAAACATATATTGTGTAATTTAGTTATTAATTTTATTGGAAGTTTTCTTGTGTTCTTTTTCTTCTTCTTTTTCTCGTTATTTGTTTCTTTCGTTTGCGAAATGTGATTTATTTATAGATTTGTTATGGTTTTCATGTTTTTCCTTTATGGACAATTCAATAAAAATGCGTGCAACAAAATCGTTTGAACTGTTGAATATTGTAATTTGTGGTGTATATTTTGTTTAGAAAGAGACGCTTTTGTTCAGCGTTAGAACAAGTTGTGACCTAGTTTTGGCTCGTTTTTTTCCACTCTATCCAAATTCTTTTTTGTCACCTAACATGAAATAATTATTGACATCTGTCTTTCACTGTGCCCGCACCTTCTTTTCGCAAGAACGTTCTGGCTGTCGATCGCATTTCTTGACGCTTTGTCACTGAAGCCAAAGCTAAAGTAAAGCGATCTATTCCAGATATAGAAATACGACCTGCTTCGATGTATATGTGTGAGTGTGTATTGGTGATTGACGTCGTGAACGAGTCGTTAACGACATGAAATATTAATTGATTTGTTTCATGCAGGAAATTTCATGTGACTGAAACTCATCTGTAACGTCTTAAGTAGACAAAGTGTGATTAAAGCAGTGTCTAAATTGAGTTTTCCTTGTGAATTTCCTCATTCAGGCAAAAAACAAGTGAAAAATTTGAAATTCGGTAAAAATTGAAACTCTTTGGATCAAACTGAATTCAAAAATAGACCGAACGATAGCTTCAGACGTAAATTCATATCAAACGATGGTTCTAACATACATCGATTTGGTCCATGGTTTTTTGCACAATCTCAAGCCAAAAAAATGTTGCGTGCTCATAATTCCGAGTTGAAAAGGTGTTAGAAACAAAGCGACAATCACAAAGCTGAAAAATGTGAAAGATTTCATATGTTAGAACTATGGTCGAGGTCAGTGTATGTGTGTGTCTGTGTTGCATGTAATCTACCGTGTGATCAATGTACCGTTAACATTGCCTCGAATATGATTAGTAAAAATTTATGTTTGTTTGTCGAACATAACGTCGATTTGTTCGTACATGTTGTTCCTTTTGATCTTTATGAAACGCCAGTGTTTTTATTGTGGTGTGCCTTGTCTCACATAAGTGACTCATTGTATGCTGCGTGCGCGATGGCTATGGCATGCAAATGTTTTGCCACAGTGTATGTGTATGTGTATGTGAGCAAACCTATGCGATGCGAGCCTATGTGTTTATGTTTGTCGGTTCGGTTTTTTGTGATTTATGCATTTGACAAGCGTGTCGACGAGAGATTTTTTCAATTGACGAGAGAACCGAAAAATCATAATTTATTCGTTTTTTCTGCTTTGCTGCTGCTGTTGCCATGCCATGACCGAACACCACAAACGAATTATGCTTCACCTTTTCCAATTCGCATTCTTTTCTCTCTCTCTCTCTCTCTCTCTCTCTCTCTCTCTCTCTCTCTCAATACACACAAACTACAAGAATCGATGCAAACAAATGGCTAATCAATTTTCATTTGGTCACATATTGTTTTTCAACACATTTTTCTCGAAATTTATTCGGGACACACGTGCACACCACCGACAATAACACATTTCAATTTCGAATATATCTTATTTATGCAATCGATCGCAGAGTTGGGAAAAATAGTTTGTGCGACTATGAGATGCACATTCCAGCGCAAGAGAGAGAGAGACGCGTCTGGAGGCTAGCTCGCATTGAACTCGAGTTTGCCAATAGGCGATTCAGCTCATGATGTGGAATTGTTGAGCGGTGTAACCATTATAGCGTTTAGATCATTCGAGTGCGGAACTCGGGTTTTAGGCTTTGAGAATCGATCTTGATTTTGGCTAATGTAAACAAAGAACGGAATAAAATTACCTGAGGAAACCTTCTAAACTTGCGAAATTTCGTAATTTTGATCAGTTTGATTTTTTGAACAATAATGTTGCGAATAAATAGAAAGCTGAATGACACAAAGTCAGTCGATTTTTTTTTTTTGGCTGAACAATTGAATAACATTTTAAGGTGAAGGGTGTCGCTATGCCCAATTTTTTAGAAGTTTTCAAGCTGTTAATGAACAATCAGTTCCTGATGCAATGAAAAAAGAAATTTTAGACTCAACATCACTCGTCGATATTGAATGATATACGAAATTGTGCCTGAAAATAGATTGAAGTGAGGTACTTGTCACAGTGATGTCTATCGATTTGCAAGACTGGATCAAAAATCAATCGGTGGAAAATGACAGTGAAGTGAAGCAGCCCGGTTCAGGACAAATGTTGCCGTTCACATTTTACAGTGTTTTAAGAAAAGGAAAGAAAAAAGTCTTTCTCCGGAGAATTTTTTTTTCTCTTCAAAGAAAAAAGTGACTCCTCATTCCTGTTCTTGAAAAAAGTGATTTTGTCTTCAAAAAAATCGGAAGAGACGAAAAAAATATTTTTTCCGAAATCCAAAAGGCAAATTTTCAAGTGAAATTTGAAATTAAAAAAACCTCACTCTTCACATGTTAACTCTTTTTCCGCTAAAAGCAAACTCTTTTGCGCCGACTTAAGACGTTTCCCACAGTCTTCGTTGGCTGGCGGATGTGCAATTGAAAGATGCGTATTGCATCAATTGCCTACAACAGAGTGATCTCTCCGTCTCTCTACTGCTATGTCGGCTGTCGCACTTTATCTTCCTCACATGCCGGCAAGCAAACCATCATCTTCGATTATCTTGAGTCGTATTTTTCATTCGGGGGCCTGGGCTTGCATTACGAAATGTGAGCGATATGTGAAGCAAGTATATATATATATGTCTCGATGTGGTTGGTTGATGTGCGCATTGCGTTGTGAATGACAAATCAACAATGATTAATGGACTTGAATTGATAAACTGTGTTTTCTCTAGATTCTGAAATCCATTTATTTGTTACATACACACCGTGAGTCTTAAAGTGTGACTGGGCATAAACATAAATTTTCCCGAAGCAAAGCGACAGATTGTAATGCCATTACAAGAAAAATGGTCGGCTTTTAACTCTCTACACAACGCACGCACGCACGCACTCAAACACACATTAGTGAATTGAGTTGACAGTAATTAATAAGTTCGTTTACCACTGGCCATTGGCTTCTTCTGGATTTTACATCTTATGTGGATCAGTTTGGTGGCCGAAAATAGAGAGCATGGAAACAATGGCCCATTGCCCGCCTACAGTGTCGTTGATCCGATCGCTAATTGGAACGATTTTTTCCTATAATTTGATTAGTAGAATTCAATTAGACGGAACTTTGTGAAAGGAATGGATCTATAAACGGATTTGGATTGGAAATGGAGCTGCATGAAAACGGCGGGCTGAATTGACAGCATGTGGCGCATGCCATGCGTCCGGTTATATCGAACGAGCTTAAAGGATTTGCGTTGATCTAATTTGGAAACTGTCTTTATATTCAAATTTATTCCAAAATTGCCAACTTCTCTGTGTCGATCAAAACTTTGGCATGTCGATCAATTTCAGCTGCGTGGATTCTCTCAGTTGCTGACTACTGGAATGTTCGTTTCCACTTGATGGAGAAAAAAAAGAGAAAAATCGAAAGTGCAAATCACAAACCACACACATTATTCCGGCTAATCCGCTCATTTACGTGAACCTTTCAAAGGCCGTTGAAATCAAATCTATTTTTGACTTTGGTGAGCAAAGAGCGGCCAATCAATTTGACAAATGGAATTTTTGGAAGCTGGATCAGGCTACTTTATATGGTGTGCATGACGTTTTATTAATAAAATTCCGAATTTATAATAAAAGTTCCGCGCGACAGTGTATCGGTCCATGTGTGTGTGTGTGTATGGAAAATTGTGTTTGCGTCGGCACTATCGTGTGTGATGACAAATGAGGTGTTTGCAGGCCGAAAAAAAAAAATCAGAAATATGACATTTTAGTTGAATGACACCCATTGAATTGGTTTTGCGTTCGCGCACCACCTGAAACACCGTTTTCTTCAGTACACACGTCCGAATATCAATTGTGTGAGTCAGAGAGACGCGTTTGTTTCATTCGCGACATTCTTTGGGCTCATTTGCTAATTGCGCGTACGAAAATAAGTGTATATATCATCTGTCGTGTTACGTGAACACAATCGCAACGGAGAGCAGAAAAACAAACGGAGAAGAATATGCGATGAAGGCACCTCTGCGTGCCGAACTCATCACCATAATAACTCGCAACTGTGTAGCAAGATCGCAAAACGGCAAGCACAAACACATAAATCTGTGAACAAGTAGCGAACATGTTTCACAATCAGATCGATGCATAAAATACGATTCAAACAAATATGCGGCAAAAAGATATAGTCTAAAAGAATGAATCCAGTTGAAACCAGCAGCAGCAGCGGCAGACGAGAGCTGTGCACTGCACATCGGATTAGGTTATTAAAATATTGCATCGACGGTGCGATTTGCTGCTGCTGCTACTGCTGCTTGGCCCTGTTTACCAATTTGCACCGCTGTCGTCGTCATCGTTGCTGCTGCTGCTGCAGCACTCTTGTAAACAAACAAAACAAATGCATCTGCAATTCGTAGTACGGTTTGAAGCGAGCAAATTGCTATTACTTCGATTCGATCGAATCTCAACAAAGGCGCGAGCACTTGAGTGTGCGCGCGCTTGCGCACTGCTGCAAGCCCAGATATACGAGGAAAAAAAATAGCAGCGATCGTATGTGGGATGCAGTTCAATCAAACAGCAACGACGACAAAATACATTAAGGTCTTGTTGACTGTATCGAATTCATTTCGGTGTATGTCACTCTTCTCGCTCACTCTATCTCACCATTTCAATCCGTACCCAACGAAAAATCTCCAACGCTGTTTCATACGTGCGTTTCTGTGGTGCTGCTCTTTTTTTCATCGTTTGTTTTTCTAATTCTGCCTTCTTTTTACTCTCTTATTTCTGCGCGTTTGGGTTCCACAATTGCTGTTCTTTCTCTCTCTCTCTCTCTCTCCTTCGTTTCTCTCTCTGTGTCCGCATTTTAGCTGTCCCTGTCGGGTCCATGCCGCTTGATGTGTTTATAATCGTTGTGTAAAACCGTGCGCGTATTGAAAACAAACAGATTGTGTGTCGTGATGTGAACGAAAACTTGACTCGTTGTAGTTTTTTTTTTCATTCGTTTTTCTTTTCTTCTTTCGTTTCATTCATGTTAAACGTTTGCGTTCTTGTTTCGCGTTGTGTTGTACTGTATCTGTCTCATGTCCACTTGGATTGGTGTGAGCACCATAGCAGCAGCAGCAGCAGCAGCAGCACCAGCTAGCAAAGCCTATGCGATCCATGGTTTTGCACCAATCGTTCAGTTACTCGCGATCCGTTCACGTGAAACGGTCCTTTTTCTATACAGTGCTTGAAGTGTTTGTTTTTTCTTTGGTGCGCAAACGAAAAAAAAAACAACAACTAAAACCGCGACTCTAATTTATTTTCACACGACTGCTAAAGTACGTAGGCAAAATTTGTCTCTTTGAATTCTTTCAGATTTTAATTACCGTAACGGAAAACCCATAATGCCACACATTAAATAAATGATATTAAAATTGAGGAAAAATTATGCAAGGCGCGAGTGTTACGGGCGTGAGCAAAAAAGGAACAATTTTTTAATCATTGAAATTGATCGTTAAACCACAAACATAGTGCACACAAAGTGAATGAAAATCTTAATGGATCGTTTAATCGGGCGACTTTTAGAATTTTTTTTTTTTGCTCATAACTTCAAGTGGAATTGTGCGAGAGACAGTGAATGGTTCAATTAATTTAAAGTTAAGGACGGTTTTTTCTTGTCTGAGGAGCAAAATTCAGGGTGAAAATCGAAAGACATTTTGAATAAAACCAAAGAAAAAAAATGTTCAATAAAGTCATCAAAAAGATTAAGGCAAAAAAGGCGACTTCTGAATTGGATTTTTTTCTTCCCATTTGAATTAAAAGAGGCGATAAACAAGAATGTTAAACGATGAAAAAGTGAAATTGATCCACTTGCGAAAAAAGGTCGAAGATCGTACAACTCCTGCCTAAAAGGCAGCCAGCAATTTTCCATGGCATTCCAAAAAAAAAATTATGTTCATTGCCGTTCAACGACGGCGACAATGGCAACAACATCAGTAAATTGTTCAATCCCATTTTAATTTGAGTCATTAACAATTTTTTTCAATTATCCCATTTTTGGTGTGTTTCATTCAAAGTGATGTTGTTGTTAACAATGTGCACTGCTCTTGGCTGGTTTTGTGTGGCTCCGTTCAATGTATTACATATGTCTCTGTTGAAAGTGATTCAAAACAAAAGAGCGACCAGTGAATATGGAAACAAAAAGAAAACAAAGGCAAACGCACAAATGACACAGCCATCAATTAAAATTGGATATATTGTGCGCGCAGACCAGCAGAGCAGTTATTTTGTCAAATAATCGCCAATAAAATCGATATACAAAAAAAGTGCGCTTAACATGAATTACGAGTCGAAATTACATCGGTGCGCAATGTATGCGCGCGCAGCGCGCACGTTGGTTCGCATGATAAGACTGCATGAGTAACGAATCATTTGATGAAGTGCGATCGCAATCGATCGACAGACCAACGACAGCACACAGAGTGACATGTATGCCACACTAAACACGATGGATAATTTATCGATATTTAATTAATTGAAAAGTTGAACTCGGTTCGAGTGGCGTGGAGAAGGCGGCAGTTAATTCGATTTATTGCTTGTCACTTGAACTGTATCGCTGATGAAATTGGAACATCAATTCGACGGCAACCTTTTTTCTGTTTTTTGCTCTTAGATGCATCGAATTTTTTTGACTCTGTGCTTTTATCTGTCTCTGTCTCTGCCCCTCTGTATGTCTTTTTGACTCTTTCTCTATCTCCCTCACCATCTCCTTCTTTCTCTTTCTCCGTTATTGAGAAAATCTTCTTGACTCTTTCTCCATTCGATCGACTCTTCTTGTCTCTGTCTTCAATTTTTGTCTTCAGTCTTCAATCGATGAGCTTTTTTCCGCTTTTCGATTCATTCAAAGTTTGGTTCGATCCATTGACCTTTTCCACACTTTTCAATCGTATTTTCTGCTCTTCAATCGTCGATTTTTTGCTCTGCAATCGTCTTTTCTCGCCCGTATTCTTTGCGACAGTCCAACTTTTTCCGTTCGATCACATTCGTTGACGTTATGAATGAATTGGCAACCGATTTACGTTTTTCATTGTGAAAATGCGAAAAAAAGAGTTCAAAATACCATATTTTTCGTCATGGAAAAAATGCACGATATTTTCGGAATTGCGGCAAGCAAAAAGTGCTACAATTTTGGGTTGGGCTAGCGATTATTTGCTAGCTCGGCTTTGTCGATTCGATTACATTCTTCGTGACAAAAATGATGTGGTAATCGTCGGCGTGAGATATGCTAAATCGTTGACCGATGAGAGGGAGTGCGACTCGACAATAGCGTTTCACTTTTTATTCATCTCTTCGTTGTCTAATATTCCATCATCGGTAAATAATCATGTAAAAATCCAATAAATATTTTCACTTTTTTATGGTCACGAAACATCAAATACAGCGGCCTCAGCCGGATTGCATCTATAAATGGCAGAGATGCGACGCTTCTGTAATAATTTTCCCCAAAAAATGCCCACCAAATAAAAATGAGCAGCGCGCATACAAAATAAAATTGAAGTGTAATCTAAAGTGAGATTTTATGATGCTATTTCTTCGACTTTTGGCATATTGAAATACGTGTCTTTGTGAAAAATCCTTCCCAACGACATCAAAGTAGAAAGTTATTCCAATCGAATAATTTTAAGTCGGCGCGACGATGGAATTGAATAATTTGTTTCAATTCAATTTTTCTTTTGTTTTACACATGATCATGAGAAAAGTGTCCGCCCAAGCAGCAGCAGCATAAGAACCAATCGATTTTAATTTGAAACAAACATTTTTCTTGAATATACGATTTTTTTTCCGATTCGTAACGATTGAAAGTGAATCCATTAGCATATATATCTTGATCGAGGAGACCCATTTAGATGGCAATTCGAGCAAACGCACGCGCTCGCGCCACGTCTCATGTCAATCGTAATTATTAAAAATGGGAAAAATATGAGAAAAAGAAAAAAACACAACCGTTTCATTTGAATGGACCTTCATCATTTCTGAATTACCATAAATAGTTGCAAATATGCGCTCGCGCTGATTTGTAAATCATGGCGCGATTGATTTCCACTGCACTTGTCGCTGATTCCATGTCGTCGTTGTCGCCGTCGAAAACGTATCTCAATCAAACTGGCTGCTGCTGCTGCTGCTGCTGCCAGCAATGGCAATTCGATTGTTTTCGCATGCAATTTTCGTTTCATATAAAGACAACAATCGCTTTGTGAATTTGTGTGATTTTCATTGTCCTACACAAGCCTATATTTGCATGGAAAAAGGCATTGATCGCGTGCTCATGTCCACTCCGTGGAACCCGTTTCATTGACGACTGATTCGGTATTTCTTGTTGTTAACTCTTTTTTTCTTCTCTGAAGTGCAGTACAAATCGTGAGATTTCTGCTGTTATTGTGATAACGACGTTTGTTGTGACAAACAATGTCGTGCATTGCGCGTGAAGGAGAAGGAGGAAGAGTGTGTTGTATGAAAATCACTGTCATTTTCCCGGAACTCTTTCTCTCTCTCCATCCTACTGTCTCTCATTCACAATAAATCCCGTTTAATTGTTCGGAAAAACAGAAGAAAAAAAGAGCGTAAACCGACAATTTAACCAAATCATTCGGGTGAATGCAAAGCGATAGAACCGCACTTAATAACACTTGAATGAGCGCATTTATGTGCTCTTAACTTGCCTCAATTAAATGAGGCAGGCTATTAATATGAAAAACCACTCCATTGAGAGAGTAAACGAACCGACACTTGAGTCGCGTCGGTGACTGGTTTCGATGCATTTTGATATGTGATATTTGTTGACACACAATTGTTGCTGCTATTTGCTCACTCATAAATTGATTGGAAATTGAATTAATCGCACATCGAACAAGCCACAAAACTCGAGCCATGTCAATGGTCTGGCATCGTGCACCGTACGTCTTTCACTCTGTTCGCTTTGATCACAACCAAAGTCTAAACAAACAAATTGTTTTTCCCATATTCCCCGTACACATGTTTATATTGTTCGTTAAATCATCAATTTTTCAGAATAGTTTGCTCTGAATCAGAAATTCTGATGAACACAATCGAAGCCTAGCCAGAAATAAAGTAAAACACAACAATCAATCTAAAAAAAAAATTGAGAGTCTGAAAGCCCCATTAAATGATATTTAATCGATTCGAAGGAATCGAGCATTCAATCGTTTCGATTCTTTGTTTGATTCATTGCAATAGATTTGATGGGTGATTATCGACGCCAATAATTGTTTAAATGACTACACTGTGCTATTGTGATGGAATGACGACGCACTGCTGTTGCGCTTTGGCTAGTCGTCCGGCATCGTTTCAACCGAGTGGAAAAAAGTCATCATTTTTTTTTTCTTTCAAACACTTCGATATCAATCAAACATTGATACCATCAAATTACGAAATCACTTTGTCATTTCTCTTACGGAAGGTGACTTTAATTTAGTTCAATGGTCTTGAATCAACAAATTTTTGATGTAATTCGATTGGTCTTGAATCGAATCACTGCATTAACATTTGATACACACACCGTATGTCTTTCTCTTCTCTCTTGCTATCCATCGAAAAAATGGTTCTTCGGCAAGTTGTCAGTCGACTTTGAACGGGCAATGGTGTGTGTGTGTGTGTGTGTGTGCCGAATGCGTGGGTGATCTCGTGCAACCTTATAAACTACTGCATGTTTTGGGCCAGCAGCAAATTTGTTCAGCTTTCAGATGGAATGACATTGGAATATCATTCGATCATGTTTTTTTTTTCGGTGAATAAAACATAGAGTAGTCGTAAAAAAAATCGACGTGTTAAATGTTGAATATGCATTAATTGCAAGCAGGTTGGCGACGGAGCTTGCGCGCACACATGCGGTTGCGCACTTATTTTGATGCTAAGCGACGATAAGCTTTATGTTATGTCATGTTGTGATGAAGAGAAAAAAAATGTTCTCTTCTATTCCGTTCGTACACTACTTGTGACGAAAAAATTGAAATGAAATGACCATATCTTCGATATCAAGATGGATCGCATTGGGTTCGATCAAGCAAACAGCGGCTCGTCATTCATTTTAGTCGTTTCATTCGGCCACACCACGTATTCAGCTGACTAATGTCTGATCATTTTTATGAACTTGCCTCAAAAACACTCTCATTGAGAAATGACACCGAAACGAAAGACGAAACGTACAGAGAAAAAAAAACACATATCGACGCGTATACTCAAATCTACCCACTGGCTGATAGATGGTGAGAAGGCGAAATCAATGTGTACGCGCGCGCGCACACACACAACACACAAAAAAAAAACAACGACATTACACACAAAAACACATCATTCTGTTTTCTCCCCGAAATGAAACACAAACAAAAAAAACGGCAAAGAAGCAAAAAAAAAAAAAATTATGAATCAACCGAAAAAAGTGGGCAGATTTGTTCAAGGAAACATTCAATTTTGCATTCAGTTTTGCGCCAGTGTGTGCTGTAACAATCAATGAAATCAAACCAACAATAACCATATAAATGAATGAATGCAAAGCGAAGAGAAGAAGAAAAAACACATCGGCTTCCATGAGCCACACATGATAATTTTATTAATTAAAACAACCAACGATTTTTTTTTTCGCTCAATGAATTATGGCCAGAATTACATACGTTCATTGTGATTCTAGATATTCAATTCATCAATGACCTAACTTTGGTTTCGATCAAACGCCCTACGTAAACAAATGAAGAAAAAAATCGAATGAAAAAAAAAAACGACAGAAAAAAAAATAACGATTGATCCAAAACCCGCGATCGATTACCTCAATTAAACGATGGCCACCGAAATAAACGACCAATTTTTTGCCTCCATCTCCCGAAATAAACACACCAAAACAAACGATTTTAACGACTCTAAAAATGCTCAAAAATGTAAATAAACAGCCATTTCCACAAAGTGACGGTTAACGATCGTGAACAAAAAGTAATAAAATTAAACGTATGAAAATAAACGATTTTTTGATCCCCAGACCCATGAAGTGTTTAAAGTGATGATAAAATATGCGAAATCTTTAATTAAATTGATGTTCCAACCGATTAATTAGTATCAATGCCATTTTAATTTCTGTCTGATTTAGATTAATTTCCGATTAATTTTTAAACGGAATTTACGTGTGAATTCAACGGTCTTTTTCGGTGGATGCAGCTTCTACGGTAAACAACGGATAACTTAGCACACTTTTGGAGTAAGTATTGCATTGTAATGATGATTTATTTGTTTATTTCGTTCGATGAAAATGGCTAATGGGCCAAAGCAAACGTATAACATCTTAAGCTGTTATAAACCCATTTCATATAGAACAATTCATTGATTGACCAAATGGTGTCCATAGATAGAGAACCCAACCGAGTAGAAAAGAAGAGAACAAATTCGTAGTAAATTATAGTCTTTCATTGCTCATTTATCTTCTACTTAAGAATACTATAGCCATTTGAATGGATACATTTTCGTCCATTCGTCAATTGAGAGTCTCGATCCGAGACACATCGATAACCTACAAGAAATAGTCTGGAGCATGAGCATTGACAATTTGGTTGGGCTATTTTTTTTTTGTTTCTCTTTCGTTTTGTGTGTAGCAGTCAAGCAGGCTTCAATTATGTTGACGTATTTAGAATCACATAGGCGTGGATTTCCGTTGGCTTTTTGTCACTTGAAATAATCAATGCGTCCAATAAACGTTAATAGAGACATTTAAAATTAAAAAAAAAAAAACACAGAAAATTATACAGAACAATGCCAATCGGTCGGTGTTGGAATAATAAAAATCCGCATTTTATACGCACCCAAAACGGGAAACCGAGTGAAAGAAGTGGAAATGAGACAGGAGAAACGAAAGAGAAATTTAGGTACAGAAAAAGAGACTAACGATGAAAGGAGAGAGAGAGAGATAGGGAATGAAGGAGACAGACAGAATGGAAAAGAGATAGAAAGAAGGTGAAAAAGACAGAACAAGAAGGAGACAGAGAGAAAAGAGTTGTTTTCTCTAATCGAAAATGATCGTTTGTTCATTGACCAGAACAATATAAAGTGTTATGTTGTGTATTTCATTTTTTTCTTCGCTTCAATTGGCTCCGAAAACGGATAATTGGTGATTGTGTACGTGTTACGATTTAAAAGAATATACACTCATTCAGGCCATAGTACATTTTGTCTCTTCAATTCGTTGACCATATTTTTTGTGCTGCAGTGTCGCTGTGAATAAACTCTAGCTTACGCGCACAATCAAGAGTGGGCTGAACGATACTTGTTCCGTTATCAACGACGGATATTATGACACTAATTTTTTTTCGCTCTTTCTCTACATCGACAGAACTTAATTTAATAAAACAAAAGAAAATGAACCGTTACTTTGCCACTTGAGCTCATTGATTGAAGTGAAACTGCGTACATGACTTTTTTCAACTAGCCAATTTCTTCGGGTGTTTTCTTTCTTTGTTCTTCCTTGGTTTTTTTTTTTTTGGTTTTTCCGATGAATTTTCGGTCTTTTTCTTGTTTTTCGACGAATTCTAGGGACGAATAAAGTCATTTGAGGGACGACCAAAGCCATTAAAAAAATTCTTGAACAGATTTGAAATTTAAATTTAAATCAAACGAAAAAGCAGAGTCAAATAAATATTCCTAGGAAATTTGGTTCAAAAACGTTATTTATTCTGAAAATAACTGAAAAATTTAGCTCAAACAACACCATAGGCAAATTCTCAATGTAAATTATTGAGTCAATTTACTATTATTGATTCTCTAATATTCTCTATTTCAGTACATAGATAAAATAATCAAAAAATATGTGCCAATTTTCGTTTCGCTCCCGTTTAACATCGACATTCGGTTTGGTTTTAAAACAACGACCGATAAACAGTCGAATTCCGACCGAACAAAAAGAGTGTCGAGGCGATTGTTATGATCCGATATGTGTCATAATTCATTTCGATAAAACCATAAAATATTATCGCACTTCAAATAAATACCTGTCAAACGTGTGCGTTACTTCATATTAAATACACGGAATTTATGTGATTCGTATCGGGGAAAATTATGACTTAATGCTGCTTTGAAAAATGTGCTGTTGTTGTTTCTTTTTTTCTATTGGTATATGGTTATTTTTCTATGTAGTATAGTACAATGCAAAATTGAAACTGGAGGAACGAACTGAAAAAAAATGGCCTGTGTTTGGTGTTCGAGGCCCGGGTGTTGTGTGCGCAGCGCGCACAAGGACCGAACACAAAATGTATAATTGCTAAGCGCAACGTTGAACAAAAAAAAAACCAACTAAACACCCATAATTCACTTATTCACTTCGGCCGGCCGCAACTGAGCAAACAAAAGAATTGCGCGAACTACGAAAAAAGAGAGCAACATAAAAGACCAAGTGTTTGCTGCAATAATCCACTTACGGTGTGCATATTTTTAGCACCAAATGTTCAAAAGGAGAGAGAAAAAAACGCACACCGTTTTTTTTTTTCTCAGCTAAATTATGAATTTGGTTCGCTCACCATCTAAATCACGGCCGATTTTTGTGCTTGGGCTTTGCCGTCGCGTAATAAAACAAAGTATCACATTGAACGGGTGTTGCAATGCTGCTACTGCTGCCACCACCGTCACAGCGACACATTGAAACCATATCGAATTAACATAGAAATGACACATATCGAACTTTCAGATTTGGTAATTAGACCAGAATTGATAAATTTCCATTTTTCTTGCGGTTTTGATGTATACGCGTGGCCCGCAGCTTCTGGACGTTCTCAGGCTGCATTTGAATCGAGCAATTATGGAAGCGATTGAAATTTTATCTTGAAATGAACAGAGAGAGAGAGATGGAAACGAAAACAAGTGCTAATAATTCGATACGCTTTTCATTCTACAGCCGATCAAATTCACTTGCAAACAGCTGCCGTATTGCTTTTGTGCGAATCGCGAGAGTGATAGAGAGGGAGGGAGGTAGGTAGGTAGAAAGAGATAGAAATAAAGTAAGAGCGAGAGACGAAGAGAAAAAGGTAGAAAGAGAGAAAGAGATTCGTTCACACTTGCCCATGTGAATCATAACCGATTCACATGCCAAATGCAATAAAATAGAAAACTATATGATCGTTTTATGAGCTAACTCTGCTATGCCTGTACCATTCATAAACCATATTTGCTTTAAAGTGAAAATACATTAAAATAAATCTTCAATTGAAAGACACATTCACAATCGACAAACACTGCTGTGTTTTTATTAGCCAATCGGCTACATTTTATCGCCCATTTTCATAATTGAATTGGTTCGTGTTTTTAACCATGTCTTACAATTATCGCTATTTTCTCAAGACGATTCTACTTTCGACATTAACCATTTTTGGAACATTTCTAATAGCTCAGCGTGTTATTGATGAAAAAACAACCGTCTGGTTCTAAAAGTTTATTACTGCGAACGTTGGAACATTCGAATCTATCTTTATATTCTCAAGAATATAAATTTTATGATCGCAAATGAAAATGAGAAACATTTTGTTACCGGTTTTTATATGCGCGGAAATTTATATTTGTACTCACTCCTGGTATGGGAAACTTGTGAAGTGTTTTGAATATTGTTGATTTTGTTCAAATGGAAACTTGTATTTTTCAAGCCATTTTTCATTCAAAACATTTTTCATACCACCTTTCTTGGGTATTATAACCCAAGAAAAATAAAAATATTCCCTAAGCGAGTTCACATTTTTAGTATAAAAGTTTCAACTGATCATCAATAGTCAGTTTTGATAGTCAGTTTTTGTCATCACAATTAAGTTTTTCCACAAATAAGTCTAACCAAAGAAGTCTAACGAAGAAAAAAGTCAAAATTGTTAATTTTTTCTCATTCTTGATGATCTAAAAACCGATGCTTTTCAAAAAAACCTTCACGTTTCAAGTTGAAAAGCATCAAAATGTGCAAAAGTCACCAGAACGATTCAACGATAAATCGATAAAATGCTTCACATGTCGGCTTTTGTTTCGATTCTTTTGATTTTGGTTTATCTATTTTGTTAATTGCTTTGCTTATGGATCCTTAAAACCCCTTCAATTCACTCGATGACTATGACTTCCTTTTAAGCCATTGTCCAAAAAAAACCTCAGACGATTTTAATTAGTACCGAAAAAGGCATGTTCAAATATTGAAATTGTGCATCGTGCACGAATCGTTCATTTTTTATGGTACACGTGTGAGTGTCAAATGGTCGAGTCATCAATTACTTCATAGAAAATGCCATATGAAATGAATGGTGCGGCGCGCACAGGACTATTAGCTATCTATTTTGTTGAGCAGTTGAACTGTTGTGCCATTTGAAAATGAGCATAATACATTTCTAATGAGCCGGTCGGAAAGTTGCGAGGGCGTTGATAAATCAATTAAGTGCTTTTTTATGCGATTATCTTTGTTCCTGGCGACGAAATATGGTCGTTTTTGTGTGTGTCATGAATGATGTCGAAATGCAATTCGTTGAAAAAAAAAAATTGAAATTGACTATTTGAACTTTGGTCGTGTTTTTTTTTCGTGCATTCGATCAATTTTATTTTTGTGTCTCGAGATTTGGCTGTGATTGTGGGAGAGGAAGAGAGACAGACTCTGGGAAGGGAGACAGAGAGATTGGAATAGCTAGAAAGGGGAGAAGAGATGAAAGAAAATCGAAAAAGAAAGAAAAAAATGAAAAAGAGAGAGAGAGAAAGACAGAGAAAAACGACAAAAGACCTATCGAAAGAATAAGCCACATCGAAAGAGAAAGAGTGAGCTAGAGTAAAACCGACTGCAGAAATAGAAAGCAAAATTCCCATTGATTTGAACATTGTATCAATTCCAATATAGTTTTTCGTGGCTGGAGGCTCAATTTGTGCAGTGCATAATGTTGAATTACATATACGATTGAAGAAAAGTGCCCCGTTTGATTTATCCGTCAAAGGCCGAACGAATCGCATCGCAAACGTTATCCATTTGTAATGGCCACTTTCAATGGGTGCTCACGCGAATAAGACACGTTCACAAGAAAATCGAAACCAGAACGATTATCACCTTTATTCCGAATCGCGATGATCTTTTCCATGCGATTGCATCACCACGTATTAGTGTCAAAACATTTGAAATACGTGGCCGTGGGGCGAGCGGCTGCAACAATCAAAATTAAATTCTAAATTTGTGCGCAATTAGTAAAATATCACACATAACGAGAAAAT